TCTTAAAGCCGTGGCCGTGCTCCCCCTCGTCATGCGGCCTTCCTTCCCTCGGCCTGCGATACCTCTGAGGCCTGTTCTGCCCCGAGGTGAGCTGCGGATCGGCGCTGTGGAGGATTTATTGCTCCGCGGCCTCGTGAAGGTGGATGGGACTCGGCCAGTTGCCGTAGCTCAGCGTAGGGCCTTCCCTCTTTCTGCCAGGGCCATCGCCATTTCCCTCTCGTAGCAGGTAGTTAAGCCTCTTTGCATTACCTTACTGTCAGTGTTGGAGCTCCCTGCTCCATGATGTGCATACCTATTTCCATAATGCAAATCGATAAGAAGAGCAAACACTCAACACGGCAGTGTATGGTTTCTGTCGTTTATTTATGTTTTACTTTACTAATGAGCGCTGTTGTTGTCCCAAAGCGGGGTCGTTTACCCGATCTGCTAGATGTCACCCTACACGCAGAGCAGAGGTATTTATTTAAATCATTTCTGCGCAGAGATGGGTGCGAGGTGCTCGTCCACAAAGCTAGCACGCCGGTCTACGAACTCCTCGGGATATTTATACGGTTCAAAACACAGACATACACACCTTTAGTTACAGTTATTGGTTAGTACCTTATCTTAACACTTTCTATTGGTTAGTACAGTCTCTCGCTTTCATTTAAAGCTACAATGTCCTTTAATTGATGTGCGCGTGCTCCAATACGGGGGAGGGGGGCAGGTCTGTTCCGTCTCTTCATAGAATCAATCGGTGGTCGCCGTCTCTCACTGCTGCCGTTATCTTTCCCTCGGTTTCGGCAGGTCTTTGTCGACTTGATGGTTCTTCTAGCAGTTGTCTGGTTCTCAGCGGGTTTTTGGCGCCTTCTGCCGAAGCATGTTCCATTGTAATCAGCCTTCTGTTCTTCTTCAAGGGTACATTCATTATCAAGGCATGCATTGTTTATACAAAGTATCCTGTTTCACAAGACCTTGTAACCCTTTTACAGCTCTTTGTTCCTGCTCAGTGAGAGATTCTCCCTCCTAAAGTACATCACTGTCAGGTGAGCCCTGAGAATACTGTGATGCAAAAGAACACGAGACCTGCTTCTTGAGGAGAGGTGTGTAGGGGCTAAGTTTGGAAGGTTTTATAGAGAGGATGAAGCATGTGATACA